GGTTTACAACACACATGTGTCCAACAGATTATACACACGCACGGAATATATTAGCATATTAAGAATATTCTGTAATGCCAATTGTAAATAAAGCATTTAATTTAACGCATAAATTCCTGGTTTTCTTAATATATTATTTATTTTAAACACTTTTTTATTTGTCTTTTGTTTTTGAATAAAACTCGTCGTCTATTCGTATGAAATGCGAAGAATTTTGATGAAAACTTTCATCCGTTTGAGATGAATAGTAATGATAAATGATTTGCTGAATTCATTTCGTACACAAAAACAATAAAAATATCGATTCGTCCAAAAGTTCTCGTATTTTAAGAAAAGTTTTCATTCAAATAATAAATAATCGATTATTTATTATAATATAAATATTATACTAGTATATATAAAAACTTAAAAAACAATATTAAAAAGCACTTTACGTATAGAATTGCATACAAACCTATTTTCATAAATATAAGGATTTTAAGATACGATTCTTATATTTAATTTTATTCAATACTTTCATATTTAGAGATAAGGTATAATTCATGAAAGTAATCCATTAAGTGTGGGATTGAAAAACAATTTTGAGCCAAAACTCACAAACAAACTCTAATTGAATATTGTTTTTGTATTATGACATAAGAGACTGTCGACTATCATCTGCCAGATTGGAGGTCAAGATCCCATCCCTTTTGAGAGACACTGACAGCTATTTTTCATTACTCTTCACACACAACGCAAATAGACTTAAAACACATTTAACTCCGACATTGAATGCAGTTTACGTGTAACTCAATAAGAGTTTCTACACATATGACCCCGGTTAGGCTGACAGCGCCTGTAGTTTTGCAACTAATGTACAGAAGTTCCTAAAGAATAGCATTCCTAAGCAAATATATTAAATATCATAAACAGTATTGTGTTGACACCGAGTGTCCAGCTTAATGTCAAAGCAATTGATTGACAAAAACATATTTTCGTAACAAAAATATATTTTTTTTCGTTCAATAGTTTTCACGACACATGAAAATCTCAGCTTATTTTAGATGGCATTCAAATGCAAACTTATAGTGCGATCGATTAAATTGTCGCCACTTTAACTACTCAACCAAATAAATGCAATACATGTCCACTTATGGCAACATTTTATGACACTTTTGCCAATACTTTTCAAACTATTGTCTATTGTCTTCGAGATAAAAAAAATATATTTTCCAAAACTCTATGTTATAATAAGAGTCAATAATTTTCGCTGAAAAACTAATTGAATTATACTTTTCGTGGAAATTCTGTATTTATTTGTTTTTAAAAAGCGTTTTATTATTAGATTTGAAGTGTAGTTTCTGGTGGAGTGATAGGGGGGACAGGGATTACGGTTCGCAAAGTAGTCATTCCCATCGCATCTCATAAACTCAACAATAGCTGCAATAATACACGAGTTTTGCAATAATTTATTGCGTTATATAATTGAGTGAAACAAACATTTTTGACAAATCATTTGAGTTATTATTTATTTATCAAAAAA